TGTAAAGTCAGCCCAGAGGACCTTGGGGAAGGAAAGAAGCATGGTGAGAGATGGTAAGATGCAGGTACATGTGAAGGGGAGGAATACGGTTGGAGGGGTTACACACAGAAAGTAGGGAGATTCAGAAGAAAATGCATTTACTCCACTCAAAAGTCACCACGTTACCCACAGGAAGTACTCACAGGAAATAGGGGAGTCTGGGGGAGGCGAAGATGACGGGTCGACTGTCGGCTCCGAAACTCACGTGGCCGACAGCTGTCATCTCGTGATTGACCGGCAGCACCCTCTCGTCTGTGCGCAGGCCTGGCTGACGGGAGGGGGTGATGAGTGGTGGGAGGGGGTGATGAGTGGTGGAGGGGGTGATGAGTGGTGGGAGGGGGTGATGATTGGTGGAGGGGGTGATGAGTGGTGTGTGCAGCCGAACATGCAAGGTTGGTGAAGAGAGATGGTCACAAAACCCTCTTGCGTGCACAGCACAGGCCCACCTGGGGAAGGCATATGTGTGGAACCGGTATTCATTATTCGCTAATTCATTCACAAGTTAACGAGCCTTCACTGGTTTAGCTAACCACACAACAGCCGTTTTCTCAAGCTGACCGAGTCCTGGGTCCTGGTCCTGACGGTTGAACAGAGCAGTGCATAACTTTCACTGAGAGCATCCAGATTCTTTTGTCATTTCAGACGCATGTGAGACATGGGCAGCAGAGGGGAGAAGGGAGAACTGGCGCTACACAAGTTGAGGATTGGGTAGCAAAGGCTGGGCAGGCAGGGGGGACCGCATGGATGTGACATGAAGAGTATACTCACTGGGAGTCGCTTCCCTATAAGCACATGCAGGGCGGTGTCACCCCATGAGGGATGGGCCTTGTGGATGTGACTATACACAGTGTGCAGCGGCAGGGGCTGTGTGGCACCGACCAACGAGATGTCGACACGTGGCGCTGATGGGTGGGAGGTGTCTGCTAGGGAGAAAGGGATCTGAGGAGCGGTGAGGGGGGAGAGGACAAGGAGAGGGAGAGGAAGGAGAGCGGGAGAAAGGGGGAGGACAGGGGGGCTGAGAGGATGGGATAGAAAGAGAGGAATGAGGCGGAAGTAGGGTATAGGGGCCTAACTCCAGGAAAAAGAAAGAGGCGTAAACAATCAACCACCACCAGTCAGCAGGGACGAGAGTTGCTGCAGAATGTAGCAGGGTTAATCCGTGCTGAATGTAAATCTGTAACTCACGGATTTCCGAAAGAGGATGCTGTACTGATCTGGTCCGGTGAGCCAACCGTAAAGGAGTTTTGTATCCAGAATCTGTGTCAAGGGGATGAAGGGGCAGCATGGAGAGAAGAATGGCATGGGGTGAAGGGAGGAGGGTAAAGCACAGGGCAAGGGAGGAGGCAAGGGAGGAGGCAAGGGAGGAGGCAAGGGAGGGGTAAATGGGACAAGTGAACAGACGCCGCCGTGTGCCATCGTGGAGAGGACAGAGACGGTGAGCATGAGAGAGGGCGAGTGTGGGAGAGAGAAGAGGTGATTGCAAGGCACCTCATGAATGACCTTATAAATTGTGAGCAGGCATGTGCCATCATGCCATCTCTGTCCTCTCCACGATGGCACACGGTTGCTCACAATTTATAAGACCATCCATGAGGCGCCTTACAATCACCTCTTCACTCTCCCACACTCACCCTCTCTCGTGCTCACCGTCTCTGTCCTCTCCACGATGCGAAACGGATCATGAGAGGAATGAGACCAGTGTGGGGGGTTATCAGGGATGAGAAACTGCGACAGAAGAAAAGATAGACAAGAGGAGAGAGAGGAGAAGGCTGGGGACGGTGGGAAGAGGGGAAGGAGGGAGAAAGGGAGGGAAGGGAGAAAGAAGAGCAAAAAGGAGAGAGGAGAACCAGGTTGGCAAATGAACAATCCGTGGAGAGTGGAGAGTGCGCAATTTTCAGGCTCCTAGGAAGTTGCCTACTCTGTGTGCTCTCTCCCACTCACTCTATCTGCCCACGTCACTATCTCACACGGCTGCTCATGACTTGCATGCGAGGCCATCTTAAAGGTTCCTAAAAAAATTGCTTCCTCTCTTTCTCTCTTTCTTGACTGTTGCAACTCTCCCATTCATCTCTGCCTCGCCCACTCACCGTCTCTAACCTCTCCACAATCGCACACGGCTGCTTCACCCCGTGGTCTGGCAGCAACGGGAGCGGGTCGAGCCTCCACCCAAGGCCGAACCGCTGCAGGATTGGAACATGGAAGCCGAGCCTCCCCCAGCCATGGTGCTCGGACCTGGATGCCTGCACGAGCCCTCTCACCACCACCAACTCGTGACGCGACTTGACGAAAGAGCTTGGGAGGTTCTCAGGTGACGCTTTACAACTGCTGCTACTTGCGTGAAGCAGCCACTTCAATCCGGCACTGCTGCTGCTGCCGCTGCTTCTGTTGCTGCTGCTGCCTTCACTGCTGCTGCTGCTCCCCGCGTGCAGCAGCCAACCCAATCCGGCACCGCTGCTGCCACCTCTGCTGCTGGAACCACCACCACCACCGCCGCCGCTGCTGCTGGTGCCTCTGGCAGCGTCAGCAGGCGGCTTCGCGCGACTTAGCTCCGCGATGGTCGTTTCGCGCGCGGATCTGAGAGCAGAGAGCGAGCGGGACAAGTCGATCAGCTGCCACCACGCGACCGCAGTGCTCCAAACGGTCACCGCGGCGTTACCCACGGCCAACGCGCCGACGACCGTCTCCCTGTGTGCGACAGTCGCGCGAGAATCAACGACAATCGTTGCCTGCTGCGCGATCGCGCGATCAGCCGGCGGCGGCGCGTTGGAAGCAGCACCACCGCCTGGCGCGCCGGAAGGCATTGACGCGGAACGACAATGGGACAGGAATCAATAGTGTCGATCCATCGTCTTTGTAACGCGAGTGACGAATGGCTTCTGTACAGTTCTCAGAAACCGCTCACGGAAATGGTCGACGACGACTCGCCAGGTGTTTCGATTCTTCCACACGGCATTTTGAGTCTGTTTTTGAGTGCTCTGTGAGAGTCCGTATGAGACAGGAGTGTGTGAGAGGGGCTCGTGTGCCTTGCCTTGTCAACAAGGCCTTGAAAATCTGTGAGGAATCCGGACTGGAATTTCAAACACTGTTGACGCTGAGTCACTCGAAGAATCAATCACCGTGGACGGGACGGGAGATCTGGGTACGACGAAAGAGCAGACGCTCTGACGGTGATGACGTGAGCATGGCCAGTCGCCTTGGGATTGCCGAGCGGTGGCAATGCGGCGAGCGCCGTTCGATGACGACAGCCTTGGAATATGCGCCCGTCATTGTCGGAGCTGCGACTGACTCGCGGATTCCGGTGTCGCAAGCGCGGCGCGATAGCGGCCGCGAGAGCGATTCACCTGTTCGCCTCGAAAGCGTCGAGCTACGGCCCGTAGAAACACATGTGCGTGCGAGGAGAAGTACCAGGAACGACGTTCCCGTCGTGAGAAGAAACACATGTGCGTGCGAGGTAGCGACACACGTAACGAAATTGCGATGTACCTGTTCCGTGGTGCGAATGTGGCGGCAGCAACCAACGGCACAGAAGTAGGATGGGAGGTGATGTGGAAGTACGCGGCCAACTTCATTGATACTCAAATTATGGAGAGAATGACTCCAGTGGCCAATAAGGTGATTCACCATCCCTCGCGTGGCCACGAATGACTCGAGTGGCCACCAAATTTGGTGATAATGAATCGAGTGGCCACGCCAGGGTATTCTAGCTGGCTTTTATTTTCTTCGGCGCATTACCCTACAGGGCTTTGTAGCCCCGAAATTCCCCATTTGTGCGAGGTTTATCCTTAGGTAGTGTTCCATTCTGTTCCGCACCCGAAACTTTCGCCAGGCTCATGGACGCGAAAGTGGCCCGCTCACTGTACATTGACCAACAGTGCATTGACCGGTCATTTTCGGCCAAATGCTCGACAAATGAGCGCGCGGTGAATATAATTCACATCCAATCAGCGAACGAGCTTATGACTTCGCAATCATATACTGCAATTGACCCGAATTGAACCGACACTGCAAAAACGACCATGCTCGATTGGTCATGAGATATGCGCGTCCAATCAGGTGCCATCGTATAGTTCCCGATCATATACTGAAATGATCGGCCGTCGGTTCGCGAGAAATCAGATGACCGCGCGTGATTGGTTTGTCTTGTTCGCAGGATATGACCAGACATTGTGCGTCCAATCAAAGAACGTCCAAACAAAGGCGCGGTCATACATCATATAAGGCCGCGCAATAACCTTTATGTGCGCGCATTTTTTATGATGCTTAGTGAGCTAATAAAACCTAAACAGAAAATCCAAAAGTTTATTCTCCCTGAGTATATTCGGTACGTCGTGGCTACTGTCCTGAGTTTTGTTTTGCCGTTAATCTAGATAACACTGCGAACACCTTTCATGTGGCAGGCAGAGGTGGAGGGTTATACTTCTATGCATATGTATCTATTAGCATGTCAGGTTAGGATCTACGCATGTATACCATAGTTTAAGTAGATTGGTTTTTATGTTTACAGATCACGCAATTCCAGTATCACCAAATGTCACATGATTTACTGCGTTGCTTGACCAAACAAGATTGAGCGCCTTAAAGCCAGCAGCTAAAATAGTGACCCCCCCCTTCTAGTTGGGTCCACTTGAAAACTGAAGTTTTTTTGGAACAGTTTCGGAACCAATGAAGTGCTGTACATGTTTATTTTTTCACTCCTGACGAGTCTCGCTGTGAACGGGGAACACTTACAAGAGTGCACAATTCTGATTGGCAGCGAAACTCACACACAATGCACACATACTTCTCTGCGAATTTGGCGCAAGGTTTCAATGCCTGTATTCACTCGAGCAGTCATCGAACTTCACAAAACCGAACATCAATCAACAACACAGAATCCAGAGCACACACATATGCCAAGGTGGGCGGACGACCTGGCAGAGCTGCGAGAAACGGCGAGACCTTGGACTTGAGGCTGAGAGAGGTTAAAAATAGGGACAGTGTAGGACGAGGGGGATAGAATGATATCGATGGGGAGAGAGAGAGGAACAACGGCCAGCGAGGGGAGAGCGGAGGAGCGAAGGGAAGAAAGAGAAGAGAGGAGGCGAACGACGGGATGGGAGGGGAGAGGAGGCGAACGACGGGATGGGAGGGGAGAGGAGGCGAACGACGGGATGGGAGGGGAGGGGAGGACCGTGAGCGCGATGGCAAGGGAGGGGAGGAACGTAGCGCGATGGCGAGGGGAGGGGAGGAACGTGAGCGCGATGGCGAGGGGAGGGGAGGAACGTGAGCGCGATGGCGAGGGGAGGGAGGAACGTGAGCGCGATTGCGAGGGGAGGGAGGAACGTGAGCGCGATGGCGAGGGGAGGGGAGGAACGTGAGCGCGATGGCGAGTGGAGGGGAGGAACGTGAGCGCGATGGCGAGGGGAGGGAGGAACGTGAGCGCGATGGCGAGGGGAGGGGAGGAACGTGAGCGCGATGGCGAGTGGAGGGGAGGAACGTGAGCGCGATGGCGAGGGGAGGGAGGAACGACCGGATGGGAGGGGAGATTGCAAGGGCGACGGGATGGAGAGCGCTAAGGCGACGAAATGGAGAGCGCTAAGGCGACGAAATGGAATAAAATTACGATACAACGCTATGTAACAGTCTTACGCATTCCTGTTGGGTCGTTAGTTCCTTAGCTTGGCCACAAACATCTATTGTTGTCAGCTATAATATGCTAGGAATGAAACTAGTGATTACGGGACGGAAAGCAACTAGCATGAAACCCAGTTCCAGCTTGAAACCAACTTTGGCCTGGCGATCGAAACCATCGCTTGGCAAGAGTCGTGCAGGTGTAGCACGAAACATGCGACAGAGGAGATCCGCAGGGAAAAAAAATTTGGCGGGAACATGAAGAATCAAAGATTGGCGACAGCCAATCACATTTGCTCATGGTGCTTTTCGTTTTGTTTGGAACAGTGCTCGAACGGCCTGTTTTCGGCAGCCACTTTCAAGATGGGACAGGGTTCAATATTTTATATTTCGGTTTTAATACGAACCTAATTGGTTAGAGCTTAACTTTTGTGCGAATGTTTTTAGTATATGATTGGCGGAATCATATAGGAAATTGTGTATAAATGAACGCGTTCAAATATGATTGCCAAACCTTAATGATTTTGCTTGATTGGACGCGCAATAGCCACAATAGCACCGCGCATAAATCTTGACCCATCATGCGCGGTTGTTTTTGCTGTGACGGCAAGTTTCGGGTCAATAGAAGTATATGATCGCGGTGCAATATGCTCGATCGCTGATTGGTTTGGAAATTGGTCGCGCATTAGCTGGAAATTGGTCGCGCAAACACTATTGTTCGGAATATTTGTCGGTTTCCTGTACAGTGGGCGGGCCACGTTCGCGCCCGCCACTCTGGCGAAAATTTCGGGTGGTCAATGGTTATGTACACTACCTAAGGATAACCCTCGCACAAATGGGGAATTTTGGGGCTACAAAGTCCCGAAGGGTAATGCGTCGAAGAAAAAAAAGCCAGCAAGAATCCCCTGGCGTGGCCACTCGAGTCATTATCACCAAATTTGGTGGCCACTGAAGTCATTCGTGGCCACGCGAGGGATGGTGAATCACCTTATTGGCCACTGGAGTCATTCTCTCCAAATTATGCCTGGAGCGCTTTGCATCGGTACTCAACATCGATTTCTCATTGCTGGTTGGTTGTCGATTTTCAATTACAACGCTGATTGGGTCTCGCAAATCTATCACGACTTTCACGCTAAAAACACATCCGCGATGTGACAGAAACAGAACGCAGTTACCGAACTTAAACATGAATAATTATGTCGAGGTGCTACCAAGAATAGGCACAACTAAATCATGGAGTAATCAACCCTTTATGAAGGAAATTTGTATCGAGGACAAATTTTGTAAATATCATAAAAATCCGATTGGGGAAAAATATGCAAACTGGGATTAGCTCAACAAAATAGGGTCGAGCACACCGTCAAGCCTCCGTCGACCGTGGACCTGCTGAACTCGGACATGGGGGCTCATATTTATTTTTGCGCGCCTTCACATCGGAGCACAATTCCGTAAAGAATACCAGAATAAAAAGAAATTATTGGGAAACCAGAGGCAACCAGGGAACTTATCAACCCTAAAAAATGGATGGCTTTCCGTATTTAGGGTTGATTTTCCCAAATTGTGTTATGGTTATATAAGGGTTTTAGTTTTTTTTTTTTTTTTTTGTCTTCAGGGGTATGTGCAGAAAAGTAGCCGGTTGAGCCTTTGATTCAGAATTGCACTTTTAACACGATGAAACAATACACATAAGTACTGTACCGAGAATTTGTCGGTTGAGTACGATTGCAAAACCCCCTTGGCATAATTTGAGCATCAATGAAGCTGGCCGGGAAGTACGCGGTAATATCACTCTTTTAGGGCGCGTGTCTTTTGCTGTAGAGGTTCGGAAAATTGGTTGAACTTTGCTGGTAGCCATGCATTGTGCGAATCTCGTTAAACATTTCGTCCATGCATTGTGTCCTTGTACAGCGTTGTACATGAAGTAGGACACTGAACCTGGGTCAAGCTTTCAAAACAAACCATGTGTGCACAAAACATCAGTCGTGTGTCCTCTTCACCATACACGAGGAAGTTGCTAATTTGGCGACAGTCGCTGCACGAGCGACTTCGGAAATCAGGGTCCCGGCCACTGCAATACACACCAGGTAACCGTTCGCGAGCTGGACGCGACTCGGTAAAGCTGTAAAAGTTCAACTTCGATAGTCGAACTTTTGTGTGTCCTCTGATTCTCGTGAGTGGAGGAGCAACGACTCGGGTCACAGATGCGGAAATAATCAAGCCTAGGTCGACCTAGGTTCAAATGTATTAGTTCAACTCAAAAACTCAAGTTTTGCATATGATTTCCAAAAGACACGCGCCCTTCCTAGTGAAAAAAGAGTACGGTATTTATTAACGTTATAAAAATAGGTTGTTGACTAAGTAAATAGCGTTTCAAAATACTAAGAAAATTGGTTTAGCAACATAACCAACTAGTAGGTACAGGAAATGGGCGTCATAGATGTTAGAAACGCCTCACTGACACTTGCTCGTAGGAGTGTATCCTGCCAAACAGTACCGTAACCGTACCGTATATGCTGAAAGCAATTCCAATTTCGCTCTCACAGTACCACACCACGCCACGACCTTCCCAACATTTGAAGAGCAGTTTCAATCTCGTTACCGTATCTACCACACTTGACAGTTTTGCTAGCGCCTTCTTGAAACAAAGTCTCGCCCCCACGCCCTCACTCTCTCCCACCTCCATCTACTACGCCGACACCGCCGCTGCCTCCATTAGCGACACAGCCACAAGCAACGCCCCTCCTCTTGTGAGCCTGAGTGCGCCTTCACAGGATTTCCTAGCGCCTTCGTCCCAGCAAGGACGCACACCACGAACCCATTCTCTCCCAGATCCGCATGCCGCGTCGCTGCTGCCGCTGCCGCCTGATATTGAGAGGGGTGGGGCGGGGAACATGAGAGGAGGGAGGCCATTCTGAAAAACCTCAGCTCCTGGCACGGTCAAGCAGCACGTGCTCTGCCCCTGCTGGTTCCTTCACTTTCAATGAGTAATTACCACGTTCCTGTTGCTTCCACATTACCACGACTAGCATAATCTTCCAAGGGAGGATGAACCTCACTCTCTCAGTCGCTCTAGCTCTATGGAGCCCCTTTTTACCCACACTTGCCCATCCACCCATCCACCCATGCAACCATTCCCCCCTCTGCATTCACCCATCCATCCACCCATCCACCCATTTATCCACCCATATATCCACGAAACCATGCACCCATCCATTCAAGAATGCACCCATGCATGCACCCATCCATTCAAGCATAAACCCATGCATGCAACCATCCATTTACCCATGCACCCATGCATCCACCCATCCATTCAACCATTCACCCATCCATCCACCCATCCACCCGTCACCCATCCACGCAAATGCGCCCATGCACGCACCTCAATACGGCAAAGCCAACGATGCCAGCAGCAGCAGCAGACAGCAGCAAGCAACATCCCAGCAGCACCCCGCACTGGCGATCCAACTTTTGAAGCATTTTGGCATTGCTGTCAGAGAAGCTGGAAGGAGGACGAGGGAGGAGTTGGGGAGAGAGAGAGAAAGACGTAGGGGCTGGAATGTTTGAAATCAGCTGCTACTCTCCCCATTGCTCATTCAGCTTTTAGAGCAGAGAAGCCTTGGTGTAAGAGAACCTGGGGGACGCGCAGAGCAGTGGAAAACAGGGGTGAGGGGTCTGGAGAAACTGGGGGATCGGCGGGGAAATGGGAAGTTAAGGTGGTTAAATGTAGAGCATTGCTTTCTGTGTATGCCAATTCAGCTTGTGAAGCATACCCACAGGGGGAAAGGTAGAACGACTGGAGGGCGGGACAAAGGGTATGAGGGAGGGAAGAGAGGGAAGGGAAGGGAAGGGAAGGGAAGGGGTGGAAGAAAGAAGACACAATCACTTCAAGCTTCTGTAATAAAGGCTCTATGCAGCTACAGGTGAAATAAGGAAATGTGGCTGGAGGGGGTTTACACAAAAGAAAATAGGGAAGAAAAGTTCGCAAGAACAATTTTGAGTCAACTCAAAAGCAACCTCATTACGTACAGGAAGAAGGGAGGGTTAAAAGGGACCTATACGATAGGAAGCACTCACAGGAAGAAGGGGAGTTTGGGAGAAGCGAAGATGGCAGGGCGACCGTCAGATCCGAATTTCACGTGGCCAACAGCTGTCAGCACGTGATTGATCGGCAGCGCCCTCTCTTCCGTACGCACGCCCGCCTGAGGAAGGTGTATGTGGAGTAATTAATACTCATCATTACTTCATTCATTCACGAAATTATACATGGGCAGAGCAGCACCTTCTGGTCTGTGCGCAGGCAGGCAGAGCCAAGCTGGTGAGAGAAATCAAGAATGGCGTTTGCAAATGAGAACGCAAGGTGGGTCTTGAAAAGCAGATAGCAAAGCACATTCACAACTTTCACTGGATAAGCCAAGCACGCAACAGCGGCCCCTACCCACCAAGCCAAAGTGACTTTGGTCAACTCATAAGTCAAAACAATAAGCCAAGACGAAACAGCACACATCTTCACCTGCCCACCAAGTCCCGGCCCACAGCTCAATTCCCAAAATAGCATTCAAAGGTCTGTGCACAAAAATGCGATGAAAGGCGTGGGCAGCAGAGGGCGGACAAGGGCGGGTGGAAGAGGCTGGGTGGTAAAGAACGGAACAGCAGGGAGAATGATACCTGTACTCACCGACCGGTGCTTTCTTATAGGAGGCCTATCCATAAAGAGATAAGAAAGAGTGAAAGCGCTTTTCCATAAGCACGTGCAGGGCTTATAAATAGTCCACTCACCGGCAGGCGCTTCCCTATAAGCACGTGCAGGGCGGCGTCGCTCCATGAGACATCGGGCTTGTGCATATGATTGTACACGGTGTGTAGCGGCAGGGGCTGTGTGGCGCCGACCAATGAGATGTCGACACGTGGCACTAACGGGTGGGTGATTTCTGCTAGGGAAAAAGGGACCTGTGGAGACGCAAGGGATGGGAGGAGAAGTGAGAGAAAACAGAGTGGCGGATTGAATGGAGTGACGTGCGAGCAGAGAAACATATGAGCACAGGAAGTTATCAAACCAGCCGTTTGTTTTCCCTCTCAATGCGAATGTGAACGGAAAAACTTCATTTCGCATTCTGAACATTTCGAAATCCATAGAGTTTTGAAACACAATGCAATCAATCCGTCACTCCATCTTTTCTCACATTATTCCCCCCCTCTCCATTGCATCTCCTCGGGTCTCTTTCTCACTAGCAGACACCACCCACCCATCAGCGCCACGTGTCGACATCTCATTGATGGACACCTCACAACCCCTGCCTCTGCACACTGTGTACAGTCACATGCACAAGTCGAATCCCTCATTGAGCGACGCTGCTATGTACGTGCTTATAAGGAATCGGCAGGCGCTTCCCTATAAGCACGTGTAAGACAGCGTCGCCCCAAGAGGGGTTGGGCTTGTGTGCGTGACTGTACACGGTGTGCAACGGCAGGAGCTGTGAAGTGTCAGCCAACGAGATGTCGACACGTGGCGCTGATGAGTGGGTGGTGTCTGCTAGAGAGGAGGGGCCTGAGGAGACGCAAGGGAGGGGAGAAGAAGTTGAGAGTCGAGAGGAAGAAAATGAGGGAAAATGGATAGGTGGGCTGAAGGGAGGGGCGTGGCGGGAGAAGGGTAATATAGGAACACAGTGAGTTATCAAACCAGCCGTTTGTTTTCCCTCTCAATGTGAATGTGAGCGGAGAAAATTCCTTTCTTGCATTCCGAACATTCTGAAACTCACAGATTTCTGGGAACGAATGGTGTGTGTTGGTGTGGTGGTCACCCAGCCATACGGCAGATGCATTTCTGCTTGCAGAATCTGGGGCAAAGAGGAGGAGGAAGAAGACGATTGTCATGCGAGGTTGGGGGGAGGGGGTTGGGAGTTGGGGGTTGCCAGTGGAAAAGCGGGTACTTCACGGGAGAGGACTAAGAGAAGGTAAAAACGGGAGGGGGAAGAAGGAGGAAGAGCAGGGAAGGGAGGCAAGGTGAAAGAGGGGGCAAGAGAACTGAGTGAAAAGGGATGGCACGTTGAGAGTGGGGAGGGGAAGAAGCAGAATGAACGAGAAGCGCGGGAGAGACGACAAGAAGCAGATGCGACTTCGAGGCAGAGGAGGGGGGGAGGGAGGGAGTCCAAGAGGAGGGAAACCAAGAAACGAGAAATAAAAGGAACCACGGTGCCTCCCACTCGTGCATAAACTGTACTGCTCCCGTCCCTCGTTCTTTCCCCCTTTGTTTCCTTCCTCTTTTGCCTCTCCCACTATCCTCTCCCTCTCCCACGCACTGTCACTCTCCCTCTCCCACTCACTCATCCTCTCCCTCTCCCACTCTCACTCTCTCACCCTCTCTCACTCACCCTCTCCCACTCACCGTCTCTGTCCTTTCCACAATGGCACACGGTTGTTTCACCGCATAATCCGGCAGCAGCGGAGGGGGAGGCTTCCACCCAAGGCCGCCCGCCTGGCCGCCTGCCTGCACGAACCCTCTCACCGCCACCAACTCGCGCGAGCTCGTGCCGCTGCTGCTCGAACCACCGTTGCTTCCTCTGCCGGCGTCGGCAGGTGCCTTTGCGCGACTGAGCTCCACAATCGTCGTTTCGCGCGCGGATTGGAGCGCGGAGCGGGAGCGAGACACGTTGATCAGCTGCCACCATGCGACACCGGCGGCGCTCCCGACGGCCAACGCGCTCAAGATAACTTCCAGCTGCTCGCGAGCTAACGGCGGCGACGGTGACGGCAGTGAGCTGCTAGAAGCTCGGCGCGCCATGCGGGAATCCACGGGCATCGATGGAAAGGAGCGTCGGCTTGTCGTTTTGTGGTAAGCGGTGACTAAAGAAACGCTTACATCATTGGTGAGAGACGACGACAGGACAGGCGTTTCAATAATCGACGAAATTCTTGAGTCGCCTGTGCACGCGACTCTTCAATGAGTGCATCAGTTGAGTGCATCAGCGAGATGACTCCTTCGACTCGCCGTCGAGTGTGAGAGCAGACACGGACTTTGAAAGACCGACAATCGAGTCAACTATGGCCCACTCCTTGTACACCACACCGCCTGTGAGCCCACTCCTTCACGCGTCAGCTTCTGAGTCGACTCATGTGAGTTTAGAGTCGACTAGATTGTCCCCCTGAATTGATCATTTGAGCAGTCACTCTGAGCAGCCACTGCAGGCACTCTGAGCAGCCACTGCAGGCACTCTGAGCAGCCACTGCAGGCACTCTGAGCAGTCACACCCTTAACTACATCACCTGTGAGCCTACTCCCTCTACGCGTCAACTTCAAAGCTCCCAACGATGGTGACTCGACGTCACGTAAAAGAGTCACCCGTGAGACCATTCTCTTGACTCGTCGACTGTGAGAGCAGTCCAAGGCTTGACCCTGAGGGCGGTGGTGACTTTGCGTCACTTCATGAATGCGTGGAACTGGTGATCCTAGTACACGAAAGAGCAGACGGTCAGAGGGTGATGACGTGAGCAGTGCCAGCAGCCTTGGGATTGCCGAGCGGTGGCAAAGCGGCGGGCGCAGTGCGATAGCGACAGCCCTGTAATCTCGGACCGTCATCGTCGGTGAAACTAACCAATGCGTTTTTCAAACGCGAGGCGCTATAGCGAGAACGAGAGTAATCCACTGGTTTCCTGTCCTCGGAACTTCCGTCAGGGTCTTGGTTGAAAAGAGCAAGCACAGGCAAATGCCCGCCTGACAGCGACGTACCTAATCTGATGAGTCACCACGGCGACACGAGAATTGGTGAAGTGATGCACCTGTTTCCTGGGGGAGTGGCATAACCTTGCACAACCCCCTATTATGTCGACTCGATCAAAAACGAGATGTACAGAACGAAACAAGCAAATATATACCCGTATGCGTCATTCTACTGTTCCATATGCTTAGAATGTTTTCATCGAGTGCACCTATGTTTACCAAAGAATGCTGGTCGTTGAGGACATGTACCGGTACCAGGAAGTAACATCAACAAACATGTCGCATGCTACAAAATATGTGCATCGCACGAGCTTTAGTACCTAGCATCCAACAATGGGTTGGACTAAACTCGTTAGAAGGCAGATATGAGAGGCAAGGCGTGGAGGCTAGACGGACGTGTCAGAGCAAGCAGGTCAGCAGCTGTCAGAATCAAGAAGTGATTGAGCTATGAAACATTGGAGTACAAGTACCGGTATGAAACCCTAGAGTTTGTGTACCCCCTAAAGGCTAACCCACTGTAGCCTACACAGCAATAACACATGTATATGTTTGACAGCAGCAGCACCGTCTGCACATGTGCAATGGTTATGGTACCAACCAACATGCATCTCACATAGAACCTAAATCTGGTCCCCTTTGATAGGAAAGAAGCACACAGTAAGCCAACAGTAGAACAGACGCATGGCATGGGCACATCGCTAACCAGAGTTCACTTTTGAGGCGCATAGAAAGTCAAGCTCGGCAGCAGGACAAGCAATCAGCA